AAATCGACAGTTATCTCGAGTGCTACCATAATAAGTGGAATTCTCTCTATATGTACAAATACCTTTACCTTTACCTGCGATTTTAATTGCTTGTTTTCTAGTGAGTACAAATCAGTGATGCTTTGTCCTATTGCATATCTAACAAGACAACACAAACCTAAATCTGCTATGTCAATGCGCATTTTTTAATACTGTTCTGGCTTAAATGACAATTCTTTACCTGAGTCGATCCTGCAAGCGTCTTTTCACCGTTCTGTCTGGCTGGAATCAGGGTAAAGGTCGTCTATAATTGGTGGAAAACATATATTTGAATGCCTCAGCTTGCCCCGGAGGCACAAGTGTCACCATTACTCATTCAATTAGACGATGTTCTCTCTAGACCTATGGAACCTCTCTGGATGATATCTGCTGCACGGGGGCGAATAGTACATCTGGGTGGGGGTCGTCTGCTGCACCCACGTGAGTGGACTTTTAAATGCAGCACCCTGTTCGCAAGTCTCCTGTCTTGAAGTCTCTGTTCTCCACAGTGAGCCTTTTTCACCTGCCTCACTCCCACCTGCACAGGTGCCCCAGAAGGCGCCCAACAAGCCCGGAGCAAAGTTTCCTGAAAGCTGTAAAGCCCGACCCTCAAAGCGGGGCTACTCGAATGGTATGCATATACCACATTCAAGTCTCCATCTGCAGGCACAGATGGGCGGTCAAATGCAGATACGGCACATTTGCGTGCACGCATGCACACCAGCGTACACACACAAAGACCTCTCGGAGAGCACAGATGGTCTCAGATCCTCGTTGGGGTTTCATCCGCCGACTGTTGGAGACGCTGCTGCCGCTGTAGCTCAATGACACGCAAACCTTTTTGGAGAGCGTGTCCAGAGGCCGAGAGCAAGGTGTCAACACAGCACTTGGGTGGTCCGTCTACCCTCGCCAGCGCTTTGCTCTCCTGCGTATCAACAACGCCACAGTGACGTGCTGCGGTTCTCTCTCTGCCCACGTACAACAAACAGACGCGGCACTTTCCCAGCTCTGATGACGGAAATGAAATACGGCCGGGATCATTTCATCCAGCGAGGGAGTGTGAGAAAAGCGTCCGGGATGTCACTTGCGTACATGCAGCTGCCCTCTTAAAAAAAAAAAAAAAAAAAACGTGGCTGAGCTTTCGGCCCATCTTCGGTTTTGTCGCATCCCGCTGCCCAGACAGCTGTCAAACGAATGACATGTTTTACATCCAATTTGTACATTTTAGTTGGCCTAAGATAGCTCATAAAGCCTCCGTGTTTTGCTTTTTTTTTTAACAGGCGGTTTCATTTCTGGCGCCTTCTTTTTCTGGGTTGATCCGATGTTGCATCAGAATGATTGCCATGGGATTTCTATTAGGAGGGAGGAGGAGGAAGCGAGGGACAAAAGGAGAGAAATGAAGGATACAGAGCAGGAAGGAGAAATGGAGAGGATGGTAAAGAGGTCTTCGTTCAGTGAGAGAGAGCGAGATTTTCTCAAGGAGGAGGGAGGGCCGAGGGCCATCCGAGTCAGAGATAAGAGGCTGCGAGAGTGATTGAAATAGGATTAGTGGAGACAGCCTCTGCATCCCCGGCCACAGCATCACAGTGTTAAACCTGTGCTTCACAGGGACTGCCCCTGTCACATCAAAGCCTCCCCAGGCCGGCCTGGTGGAGAGGCAAAGGAGCCACCGGCGGGGTCATCTGCAGCCCCCCTCAACCACACACAGGCACACCCACACACACACGAACAGGCTGATCACATTCTCCATCCAGCTCCAGTATGCCATGGTTACGTTAGCAGGGATCTGGCTCCTTCCACCTATCCTTTTCATCTCGCTGCAGTGTCGTTGCGGTGTGCATTTGGACCGCGGATGCATTGATGAGGCATCTTTAACGTTTAATGAGGCAAGCGGTGATGAGCTGGCATTGGAAAGCTACTGTCTGACTGCTTCCCCAGAGTCCAAACAAAGTTCTAATGAGAACTTGGTGCCAAAAGCGCTGCGCTTTTCAACTGCTTCCCAGACTCAACGCATACAACAATTTTTCACTTTGGTTGTGAGGCAGGGGGGCACACCTGTGTGTGATTAGACAGACATGCATACATTGACAGACGTACGAGCTAGCTCAGTGGCTGGCTGGCATTAAGAGCTGGGAAATAAGTCATTATGATCGTTATCAATATTGTAATATAAGTTCTGGGATGAAGTCATCACATTAACATATACATTAAAAGATGTCTCCTCTGGGCGTTTAAGATTATAGATGTGACAAGTCCACCCCGGAATCCGGAAAACACGACCTTACTCCTCTTTGTACGATACTGCAGGTACTGGGGATTAATGTCCCCGACTAATGCTTCTTCATAAACAACAGTTCCAGGTCGACAGAAGGCGAGCTAGTGGCCGTTAGCTGTTGGCAAGCCGAGCAGTCCAGGTGGGCTAAATAACAGAGCTAACGTACAGATGTTGCTTTTAAGTTCTATCCGGTGAGGCAGGTCCGAGGGTGAACTGTAACGTGTGATCAAATGTTATCTGGTGAAATATGTGTGAATACAATTTAGAGATGCACAGTACCATTTAGAATTTGGGAAACATCTTCTCATTCAATTCAATGACAAAGTGTGTCCCTACCGTTCTAGTTTTTGTATCAAGAAGTAGTTCCTCAGCATAAACACAATAGCTGTAATATGTATCTTTATTGGGTTATAAGATTACAGAAACTATCGTTGGAAAATTATACCCAAATGGCAAAACCCTCTTTTCTCTCTCGTTTGCTCCTCTACAAACTCTGAAGCAATGCAATTGCTACCACGGCTCTGCATGCCGCCCAATCACACGCCACTCACTGTTCCGTGTTCATCTCGTGTACTTCTGACTGAGTGCGTCGCAATGTGATCAAACGCTTTGGTCCTCTTCTGTTGCCGTAGATTATGGATCCCTATTGCTAAAATGGCCTGTTTATCTGCTGAGGAGAGACAATCCACTGATTAGTGAGTGCGCTCTCTATACGGGTGTGTGTGTGTATAAGTTTACTTATGCGGCACGTGTGTGTGTGTGTGTGTGTGTGTGTGAGAGCTGGTAGTTTTCCTCTAGTATCTCATCAGTTCATATCCACCACCCACCCCACCGCAGCATGCAGTAAATAGAGTCTCTGCCACTCGTTGAGAAATAGCACAATTATACCCTGCTGGTGAAATATGGGCCGGGATGCACCACTGCTTCTTCCCTACTCAACGTGCGTGTGTGTGTGTGTGTGTGTGTGTGTTTGTGTTTGTGAACACAGAAAACATCCTTCCCCTCTGCTCACTCATTGTCATGTGCGTTCCCCACAACGGGTTGTGTGCACTTATGTATTTATACAGAAACATGTATGCATGGCATACCCAAGTGTCATCGTACCAGCGATGTAGCCGCCGCACGCACGCACACACACGCACACACGGTAAATGCAGACATGCAGATTGGCACTCACACATGCTGTAGTGATAATGCCGCGCAGCTTCTTGCTCTGCACACAGTACAGAATGTTGCCATTTTAGCTGAGGCAAGCAGATAGAATAACTCACTGTCAGTCAGTCACTAAGGTCAATCTTTCAATTTCCCCCCAAAAATGAAAAAATAACCCACTGCGCGTACAATACTGTGAAGTAAAGGAATATAACACCTTTCAGGTTTCCAGGGAACTACAGCAGTGATCTAATGGTAATACTGTGAAGTTTTGTGAACCACGTCATCTTTTCTGTTGGGCTTCATACAAATACAACAACCTCCTCATGTCCGTGGAATAATTCTTAGATCTTGCAACCTGTGCACTTCAATTTTTAATTTTTAATTATATTTTTATGTTTATATTGATCTAGTTTATATCCTTCTATTTTCTATGTTATTAGTCTGTATAGTGTCTTACTCTCCAATGTTATGCACTAACCACCATGTCAAATTCCTTGTATGTCTAACATAGTGTAAATGTTCCTGATGCTATCAGCCTTGACCAGTGAAATATCAATCAACCCATCAGAGGGTACCAGTAGTACCTTCCATACACGTCAAGGTCATTGAGCTCCTCCAGCCGCAAAGGAGATATCAAAATACTAAATGCTTACTCATAGGGTCATAGGATAGGACAGTCCTATGAGGATAGTCATAGGACAGAATGCTTCAAATATTTTTTGGATTGTATTTCACTTCCGAGTAGCAGTAGCATATGTAGCAGTTCACGTGTCTACGTGTTCACGGCACCTTCCAGTTCCATTTCTATCTGTATTCTGAAGGTTTTCACAGAGGAGTTTGTTCATATATCATTCATCGCCTGATTTGTACAACATTTTATTCCTAAAAACATGGTCAAAAATAGATTTTTGGGGGGGAGTTTGGGGATTTATCGGTTGATCCAAAAATATATAAATTTAAATTCCATTTGTAAGTACCTTTGACGCTAATATTTCAACAGAATGAAACAAGAAAAAAGAAAATCTGGCTTCTTCCGATTTGTATCAAATCTGACACTTGCTGTTGGGTTTATTTATAGAAAAGCAAGTGAACATGAAATACACGTTCACTCTTTCAAGTGCGAACTAATCACCCAGATTAGTATGCAATAGAATTAATGAGTATTCAGTGTTGTTTTCAGGTGTGAAAGGCGTACATCTGAAGTGAATATGTTGTACTGCACATTAACGACTTCACTTTTAACAGCGTTGGCAGTGCTTTTGTGCTTTAAGACCTTTTGGAAATGTTCAGTGACTCGCTCAAATGTCACAGGGCTGCACACTCGTTTGAAGTCAGCCATAAACATAATGTCATTGACCTCGAGTGATTTATCTTTCCAATGGCTCTTGACATTTGTGCAACTTTGCAAATTGCTAGTTGCAACTTAACGGCCCGCCTCATGGAAAATAAAACTAATCTCCTTAAACTGTGTGACGGCACTCTTAGTGCACCGCCCCGCCGGCCAGAGGTGTCCCGGTCAAAAACACTCAATTTCCTTTCTCTGTCGTTACAGGTATGGAAAAATTGTGTCAACCAAGGCCATCCTGGATAAAAACACCAACCAGTGCAAAGGTAAGTCATTACTTTGTCTGTCTTATTTGCGCACCTAGTTTTAGTGCACCAGCCATCACTCCTGAGACCATCTCTTGTCACGGCGAGCGGCAATCTGAGCCGTGAATTCATACATCAGCCGAGGAAGCCTCGCCCCCGTAAATCAGCAGTTTAGCGAGTAGCTGGCTCCCCTGTTGCAGGAAGGCTTTGCGTAAACAAGCCGCTCTCAGCTGTCCCCCAGTAAATGGTGCGCACATGCGCCGATGACATTATCAGCCCTGGTGCACGCGGACGCGCAGCGTGCATTTACACGTCCAGGCGTCCAGTCGGAGGGGCTAATAAGGCAACTGGGGTTTCATGAACCGCTAACTACCGTTGTCACACTCACCCTCTCGGGGTCTCGGATCCGTCGTCACTTCCTCGCGTGGCTCTAAATACATTTCCACACACTTTTTGTGTGCAATCAGTCGGTAATGATCATGACCAGCTCGGCCTCCAGTGAAGAAAGAGGGAAGGAGAAGGAGAGAATCAAGCGATAGATGAGATGAGTGAAAGGAAGAAAAGAAAAAATAGTGCGGTTCTTACCCCGAGGTGTCTGGCAGCACTGTTTAAGAGCTATTGAAGTTGCATCAATACTTTTAATTGCTTTTTGTGGTTTCCCGGCTCTGAAGTGTGGCCTTTCAAGGTGAAGGCTGCCTTCTTAACCCTGCTCCACTCCTGAGTTTATCCTGCCAAGCATGCTCTAGGTCAAAATGTTTGGGAAAATAGCCTCTGCCTGTGAGGCTAGGGAGGAGAAGAGAAAAAAGCAGGTTAATTATCTCGACGGGTCCTTTTCTCTGTGAGTCCTACGAGCTATTGAAGATGAGACGGGACGCATGTTGGTATGAAGGATGCATCAGTAGGTCAAGTGGAGAAAAGAGACGAAGAGGGATCTAAAGCTAAAGAAGAGGGGGGAAAAATCTCCAGAATGTGAGTGTGTGTGTGTGTGTGTGTGTGTCTGTGTGTGCTGCCTGAAGTTTCTGTGACGCGAGGAATACACTGGCTACACTACCACACGGAACCGGCTTGGCAACGTGCGGTGTGTGATACCATGTTTCCCATAAGTCACCCTCCTGGAATACAGCCCTGCGGAGCGGTCAAAGAGCAAACATAAGCAGACGTATTTTACGACTGAAGAGAGCGTCCTGCTCTTTCTTTAGTATTGGGGGGGGGGGGGGGCAGAGCGCGAGGACGAGGACTGCATAACCGTGGGCAGAACAATACAAATTGTGCGGCAAAACAGCACAAAAACACATCACTCCTGCCGCCACAACGCGACATCTCTCCCCGCACGTATCTGGCCATCTCGTGAGAGGGAGGCAGGTATCGGTGCATTAATGAAGCATCGCAGGCCGCCGCGCTGCCGGTGTACGGAGCGGAATCAACACATCGCCCTGACGCGTAGTCACGCATTGTTTCCAGTCGTTTGACCCCGACAACCCTGACACTTGTTCAAATGTCAGGGCTGGCGGCTTATCACTGCTGCACACGGCGAGCATCCCTCTCCCTCTCTCAGGTCCCTTCTGCCGCTCCACATCCCCTCCCCCCTTCCCCCACCCCGCCCCCCGGGTTATCCGCGTTGAGCTCCCCTCGGTGAGCTCGGTGTTTACGGCAGAGAGCTGGGACGGAGAGGAGGTCAGGGCCGGTCACCTGCGCCTCAGACAGGGATCGGCAATCAGCCCGTCAGAGAGAGAAGAGGGGATCATATCGAGGACTCGCTTGGATATCACCCACCCACCCCCCCCCCCCCCCCCCCACCACCACCACTTTATTTCCTGGATCCCACTTGTTTTTTCTGTGGTGTGCATGTGCTCATACTGACTGGCTTCACAATTCCATTACGATGCTTGAGGCATCACAATGTATCATATCCTCCATTTCACTGCACATTCACAGCTTAATACAAACGATCGGATAAATCTGATCTGCCTTATCATTCCGAAATCAGACCGGAACAGCCCAGGGAATGTATATCGGCATCCCTTCAATACACGCACCTGTGGGACCCGCCACGTCACATAAACGAGGGATGTGATAATCTGGCCATTTGGTACAGTAGAATTTTTTGTTGTTGTTGATTGTTTATCTAGAGGGCATATGGAGTAATGGTTGCTGGATGACGATGTCAGCATTTAGCAGGTGAAGTTAGCGACCAGGTTTACAAGTTAGAAGCTACTTGCTTAATAACTTTCAAGAACTGTGAGCCTTCAACTCAATGCACGCTGTACCCATAGACCTTTTGCCATTCTGTTGCTAGGGCAACGGCTTTGGTACAAGTTAATTTTAAGGGAGCAACTGTGGAGATGAAGATGTTTGGAATGTTTACGCAGTCAAGTCGGAAAAGGTTCTCGTGCTTTGTAGAAAATCATTTCACTTTAGTTTTCTTGAATGTAAACGTTGATGGCTGCCTCTCCCCAGCAGACGTGTTTCACCTGTTGGGTCGATGTAGCGGCTATAAAAAGATGAAATTGAATGTGAGAGAGATGATGGGAAGGCAGATCACTGCTGTGAGATGAAATAGTGAGCGTGGGAGGGTTGAAAAGCAGAAAATCACTGATGATGCTCTCTGTACTTACAGGTCAGGTGTTTGGGAAATGCGTATCTTACATGAGCCAGCACATGCCTGGCGCCCCCGCGCAAAGATGAACACACACACACACCAAATCACACACACTGTCTCCCGACTACACATCTATCTATACATCTATACATTTGCCCCTTGGTGGACGGGAGTGCTGCAAAGCCCCGTTTTAAGCACCACATCACAAGAAAAAGACGACGCACCAAGACCATGCAACACTCAATCAAACGCTGGCACAGAGGCTGAGCGTGCCCCCGCACGCACCCCCGGTCCGTCTGCCCGAGGTGTGTTGGGCTCACTGCAGCAGCAGTGGCCGTGCAGCAGATCCATCAATCCTCTTCCTAACATCACAGCATGTGAGCATGTCTGCCTTCTCTGGCCTCTCTCCTCCACCAGCGCACCACGCAGGCCTTTCAGGAAGCCTCTCCACCTTCACCAGCGCTGACTCACTCCCTCCATCCCTGCCTTACTCTATGACACACACACTCTCATGCGCGTTTGGATGTAGGCCAGCTCAGAGAGAAACGCTAACAGGAAGTTGTGGAAGGGCCCGAGGGCTGTGGAGCGCTGTGAGTAAGAGGAGGCATTCAGCTCGTCTCTTTCCTCTTGTTTAGCTCTCATGTTCCTCCGCACTCTCACACCGCTCCTCCTCCCCCTTTTTCTCTCTACTTTTCTCCCTCACTGTCTGTGTTATCCTCCCCTGCACTTTCACAGATACTGTAGAAATGCAGCGGAGATTTGGGGGGTTTGCACAGACAGAGTGAAGGGGGGGGGGTTGAGAGTGACAGAGGGGGAGGGAGAAACCGGACGGGCCGCGGGGAACCCCAAAACCGCTCACTTTGCCTCTCAAAAGGCGGCTGCTGCGTTTGAAATAAAGCAGGGCCGACCGAATGGAGACATTAAATTCTTTTCCCCTGCCGGAGCCCATAGGCGGAGGAAATGACCTCAAGCCCTGCAAAGGACCTCCGTTTCCCCCTCCGCCGCCGGGAGATAAGGCTGTGTCGAGATTCACCGCCGCGCTGACTGGCGGGAGACTGGCGAGATGAGGAGATAGTCCCCGGTGGCCCTGTGCTCGGCAGCTTGTTATTGTTCCCGCCTTGCTACTCCCCGTCCATTTTGAAGGAGGATGTTAAAAACTCACGGGGGCATTACATAAACTCTAAAACACTCAGTCGCCTTTGCTCTGTTACGCGGGTGACTTGATGTAAAGCGGGCCAACTTCCTGTTCCAAACCAATGGATTGTGTAAATTAGGAATAATTCATGTTTGGTCCAATGACCTTCTTCACAAAATAAAACAGTAGTTATAATGAATTCCCAGCAGGACGTCTTTGCATACTGTTCCTGAAAACTCCTTGCCTTTTTGAATACAGGATCCCTGTTGCTGGGCTGGGTGCAATTTAAAAGCCTGTCAGACGCTTGACCATTACAGTCTGAAGCATCCAATGCCCTCACCCGAGCATCAGCCTAATGGAGTAATATAGCCAATGCTACATTCTATAAAAACAGATTTATTGCTGCATCAGTGCCGGAGTGGAGTATTGCATGACTGCGGGCATAAGGGCTATTGATGAATGAGGTGACGCTCTCCAAAAAGGCCTGTTTTTCATTGTCATGTGTATCTGTGCGTTCGGGTTGGGCTGTGGAAGGGGAGAAGGGGAGGGTGGAGGAGAGGGAGGGAGGGAGGGAGGCGCGGGGGAGGTTAGGGTGGGTGCAGAAAAAGGCAGAGTGCTTTTTGCATCCGTTATTGGTTTCTCATTAGAGGGGCTGAGATATAAACATTTGTCTATGTTGTACACGGTGCCGGCGCAATTAAGTATTCTCTTCGCCGCCCCCTCTGCCCTTTGAAAGTGAATTATGTGCAGATGAGAATCTCGACTGAAATGTGGCCAACACCGGACCTCTTCCAAATGCCTCAGCTCCCTAAAAGCCCGTTCCAGAAAGTGGCGAAACCTGCTGCGGGAGCCAGCGAGGGGGCACGCGCCGTTTGTCTGCTTTGCATTGCGTCTTAATGACTCTTAATTAGCAATAGCTGAGGGATAATCACATCGATTTGGACAGAACCTCACTGCGGAACACCCGCAGCCTTTGTTAGCATCACACACGCACACACACACGCACGCAAAAAGAAAATCCGGTAAGTTCCAAGTTGGCCGTCCCCCAAGAAGGCATCTGATTGGCCGAGTTTGTAAATGAAAGTGGCCAGGGCCATCGGCGCCGCATTCCTTGAGCTCTGACCTTTCGCACCTCCCCCCCCCCCCACACTTCCTGTGCGTTCTGGATGCAGCGCGGCCCGTCCATGTGTGCGTGTTTTGAATGAGTGAGTGCGTGTGTGCGGTGGGGGGGGACACAGGGACCGATAAATCACAGATCAAAATAGACCGCCGTTTCCCCAACAACAT